TTTTGAGGTGACCTGCCCAACATAATCTGTTTCTTCATCACTATGTGAAGCAGTGAAAATACTGAACTTATCATCAAAGGTGTCCTAAAGACTCTTCCCAGTAATTACAGGAGAGAAGAATGTCAAATGCTCAATATAGTATACAACTAGATAGTTCTTAATAATATTAACAGACTGAAAATCAATCATCCTTGTTATTGAAAATATATATGTATAAAAAATATTATTCTTCCTCCTTGAAATGAACTATACCAAGAATTTTTTTTTTGGTTTAACGACTAAACATTCTGTTTTTTTTGTTTTGTACAGGTCCAGAGGTTGAAGTTCCACCACAATGTACAAGGAAATAGAATTTACAACATTTATGCTTCCATTCCTGTTCCAGTTCATGACATTCTGTTTACAAAGTTTGTTGATTTGTTTCATTGCTTTGTTATGGTGTAAATATCTCCACTTTGTACATATTCTACACACAGTCACCACACTTTGAGAGGATGTGTGCACACATACACTCACACACACCACATATACTGCACTTTGAGATGACGTGTACACACACATGCAACACTAGTGGAATTTGTGAGGAGCACTTAACATTTCCAAGTCTAAATGTTGATTCCACTAGCTAATTTGTAATTACAGGAATTAAATACAGGTGATTAGGTCCATTTAAATGTGTTCATTTGATTGTGCCTTACACAATACAGTGGTTTTTAACCTTCAAAGACTTGCAGTCTAAGTAAACATTTGTGAATCCTCACTGCTGACTGCTGTTTGAAAGGAAGTCATGGCTGTACATGTTAAAGAACCTAAAGACACCCTAGATGAAATACCTATGTTCTTCAAAATCATTCCCATGAGTACTCATCTTTTGGCTTGTGTGTGTTTTTGTGCAAAATGTTTTTTTTTTCTTTTTCAAATGTTCATTTTCTTATAAAAAATGTTTAAATATGTTATGGATGATTTATTGGGTTTTCTTGAACTTTACTCTATACAAGATGTTTGTCTTTCTATAGGTTGATTTCACCACAAGATGTTTAAGTCTTTCTATAGGTTTACTCTAAACAAGATGTTTAAGTCTCTATAGGTTCACTCTACATTAGATGTTTAAGTCTCTATAGGTTCGCTCTACATAAGATAAGTCTCTATAGGTTCACTCTATACAAGATGTTTAAGTCTCTATAGGTTCACTCTATACATGATTTATACACCAATTCAAAGATATATTTTATACATTTTGCATACATGGTTCAAAAATGAAATCTCAGTTTCTAGGTGTCAGTTATTGTTATTTTTTTCTAATGATTAATGTAACATTTTAATTAGTGTACTGGTTAATGGTTAAGTTGCAATGTAAAAAAAATTTTTATCACAAAAAAGTATGTGACCACTAATGGCCTTATCTGTAAAGTTTTTTTTTTTTTTTTTTAAAGTTTTAAAATTTCATAAGAGGAGTATGTTAAAAGAGTCAAGTTTTGTCGTGTCTATGTCTAGAAAGATCAAATCAGTAAGTAGATTCCAGCCTTTTGAAACTATCAAGCTAAAAGTAAATTATGTAGATTCCAGCCTTTTGAAACTATCAAGCTAAAAGTAAATTATGTAGATTCCAGCCTTTTGAAACTATCAAGCTACTAGTAAATTATGTAGATTCCAGCCTTTTGAAACTATCAAGCTACTAGTAAATTATGTAGACTCCAGCCTTATGAAACTATAAAGCTACTAGTAAATCATGTGTTGTCAATGAAGACTTTTGCAAAAATGCTGTGCTCAATATATTTACATTTTTTGTGTGTCAAAACTTGTGCTTTTAGTATATCCTCTTAGTCTTTTGGTTGGCCAGTCAACAATGTCTTCTCTATTTCTATTTACAAGTGTGACGAGAAGAATATTGCCATTATTAAGTTGTTGTTTTTTTAATAGATTTTTTGTTTTCATTAATAATTTTAAAACCTTTTTTTTTTTTTTTAAATTATTTTGTGTGTCTTTCCAAAAACCTCAATGAATATTTTAGACCACAAATTATGTAGATTTCAGCCTTTTGAAACTATCAAGCTACTAGTAAATAATGTAGACTCCAGCCTTATGAAACTATAAAGCTACTAGTAAATCATGTGTTGTCAATGAAGACTTTTGCAAAAATGCTGGACCTTTGAATGCTGTGCTCAGTATATTTACATTTTTTGTGTGTCAAAACTTGTGCTTTTAGTATATCCTCTTAGTCTTTTGGTTGGCCAGTCAACAATGTCTTCTCTATTTCTATTTACAAGTGTGACGAGAAGAATATTGCCATTATTAAGTTGTTGTTTTTTTAATAGATTTTTTGTTTTCATTAATAATTTTAAAACCTTTTTATTTTTAAAAATTATTTTGTGTGTCTTTCCAAAAACCTCAATGAATATTTTGGACCACAAATTATGTAGATTTCAGCCTTTTGAAACTATCAAGCTACTAGTAAATAATGTAGACTCCAGCCTTATGAAACTATAAAGCTACTAGTAAATCATGTGTTGTCAATGAAGACTTTTGCAAAAATGCTGGACCTTTGAATGCTGTGCTCAATATATTTACATTTTTTGTGTGTCAAAACTTGTGCTTTTAGTATATCCTCTTAGTCTTTTGGTTGGCCAGTCAACAATGTCTTCTCTATTTCTATTTACAAGTGTGACGAGAAGAATATTGCCATTATTAAGTTGTTGTTTTTTTAATAGATTTTTTGTTTTCATTAATAATTTTAAAACCTTTTTTTTTTTTTTAAATTATTTTGTGTGTCTTTCCAAAAACCTCAATGAATATTTTAGACCACAAATTATGTAGATTTCAGCCTTTTGAAACTATCAAGCTACTAGTAAATAATGTAGACTCCAGCCTTATGAAACTATAAAGCTACTAGTAAATCATGTGTTGTCAATGAAGACTTTTGCAAAAATGCTGGACCTTTGAATGCTGTGCTCAGTATATTTACATTTTTTGTGTGTCAAAACTTGTGCTTTTAGTATATCCTCTTAGTCTTTTGGTTGGCCAGTCAACAATGTCTTCTCTATTTCTATTTACAAGTGTGACGAGAAGAATATTGCCATTATTAAGTTGTTGTTTTTTTAATAGATTTTTTGTTTTCATTAATAATTTTAAAACCTTTTTTTTTTTTTTTAAATTATTTTGTGTGTCTTTCCAAAAACCTCAATGAATATTTTAGACCACAAATTATGTAGATTTCAGCCTTTTGAAACTATCAAGCTACTAGTAAATAATGTAGACTCCAGCCTTATGAAACTATAAAGCTACTAGTAAATCATGTGTTGTCAATGAAGACTTTTGCAAAAATGCTGGACCTTTGAATGCTGTGCTCAGTATATTTACATTTTTTGTGTGTCAAAACTTGTGCTTTTAGTATATCCTCTTAGTCTTTTGGTTGGCCAGTCAACAATGTCTTCTCTATTTCTATTTACAAGTGTGACGAGAAGAATATTGCCATTATTAAGTTGTTGTTTTTTTAATAGATTTTTTGTTTTCATTAATAATTTTAAAACCTTTTTATTTTTAAAAATTATTTTGTGTGTCTTTCCAAAAACCTCAATGAATATTTTGGACCACAAATTATGTAGATTTCAGCCTTTTGAAACTATCAAGCTACTAGTAAATAATGTAGACTCCAGCCTTATGAAACTATAAAGCTACTAGTAAATCATGTGTTGTCAATAAAGACTTTTGCAAAAATGCTGGACCTTTGAATGCTGTGCTCAATATATTTACATTTTTTGTGTGTCAAAACTTGTGCTTTTAGTATATCCTCTTAGTCTTTTGGTTGGCCAGTCAACAATGTCTTCTCTATTTCTATTTACAAGTGTGACGAGAAGAATATTGCCATTATTAAGTTGTTGTTTTTTTAATAGATTTTTTGTTTTCATTAATAATTTTAAAACCTTTTTTTTTTTTTTTAAATTATTTTGTGTGTCTTTCCAAAAACCTCAATGAATATTTTAGACCACAAATTATGTAGATTTCAGCCTTTTGAAACTATCAAGCTACTAGTAAATAATGTAGACTCCAGCCTTATGAAACTATAAAGCTACTAGTAAATCATGTGTTGTCAATAAAGACTTTTGCAAAAATGCTGGACCTTTGAATGCTGTGCTCAATATATTTACATTTTTTGTGTGTCAAAACTTGTGCTTTTAGTATATCCTCTTAGTCTTTTGGTTGGCCAGTCAACAATGTCTTCTCTATTTCTATTTACAAGTGTGACGAGAAGAATATTGCCATTATTAAGTTGTTGTTTTTTTAATAGATTTTTTGTTTTCATTAATAATTTTAAAACCTTTTTTTTTTTTTAAATTATTTTGTGTGTCTTTCCAAAAACCTCAATGAATATTTTAGACCACAAATTGTCTTTTGTACAAAAGCAGTCCAGAGAGGAATAGCAGATTGTTTGCTATGATTTGATTCATAATGGACAAATATTGGTATTTTTTCCTTCTTTTTCATTTATTTTCTTTAAAAATTAGTTAGGGTGATTGGTGTATTATGAAAATTTCAAAACTGATTAAAAACAACAACAAGAGGACAGAAATCATTTAATGATAATGGAAAGATTTTTTTTCTTTAAATTATGGGCTATAACTCTTTTTCAAATTATTATCAATCACAATGGTTTTATAAATTAATAAAATAATGTAGCCTATAGTTTTGGCTACACATATAATAGTTTCATTTCTTTTGTTGCTTTTATTGTCTATCTTTTTACCCTGATTGTGATTAAATGAAAAAATAAATTACATATCAACTCCATCCTAGTAGTATCAGACTAAAGATACCATTTTTTATTTATTAATAAAAAAAATATTTTGAAAGAAATCTTGATAAATATGCCTACACATTCACATCTTTATATTTTGGCATATTTCTCATACACTTTCTTGTAAGTTCAGTTTTAGCTCATGAGGTCCTTATATACTATCTTAGAGTTTTATACCTGAGGTCCTTATATACTATCTTAGTTTTATACCTGAGGTCCTTATATACTATCTAGTTCAGCTTTAGCTCTGAAATCCTTATATACTATCTAGTTGAGTTTTCTCTTAGGTCTTTATATACTATCTAGTTCAGTGTTAACTTCATTGTGTACATTTATTATCTATTTATTAGCCTCTCCCAGCAGGAAGTAGTTTAATATACCTTAAAAAGCTACTAAGTCACCCTTTGATTGTTCTCTCACATATAGTAAAGTAGGTGTTTGTGTCTTCGATCAATATATATTTTTGGCTATTAATCTTTTTTATTTCTCTATTTCTGAAATTATTTATAGGTAAAAAAAATAATAATTAGTGGAATTAGTTAGCTTTAGTTGTGTTTATTAAATAGAACCAAAAAAAAAGTACAACTTGTTTGATTTCCTATTTATGGTTTTGAGATTTGCTTTAACATAAAAGTTGCAACTTTTAATGGAGAAGAGAAAAAGTTATTTTGTACTTTTTTTTTTTACTTATGTCAACCTCATTGGACTGCATCTTTGTCTGCCCAGACTTCTTTGTTAATGGTTAGGGCATTGTAGAGATGATCACCCTCTTCTTACTTGGAGGCGTTTCTTTCAGGCACTCCATGGCTCTAATTCTCAGAATTCAGTCTAGTTACTTCCTGTGGCCTATAATCATATTCCTTTGCCCTTGACACAATATATGTGAGTGTTGATGGCTGAAATTTTATGACTAGCTCACAAAAACAATCGCTGTTTTTTTTTTTTTTGGGGGGGGGGGGGGGGGGGTGTTTATTAAGTCTTTCCACAAATCACAGATAAACTCTGAACTTTACCATGTGCTTATCATTTAAGTGTTTTTGACTTGTGTACATAAATGCTTAAAGATATATATTTCTGTACATACATCTGATTGTAAACTAAAAAAAAAAAGTGTACATTGTCTATTATTGGATAATTTGTTTCTTTGCTATTTTGTTACATTTTAATTTGATCAAGTTTCATTTAAAATTGTGCCTTTTGTTGTTTTTTTTGGCGCCCTTGTTAACTCTTTCTCTCCTAATCGACGATACCATCTTTGATTTTGACCTCAGTAAATTAAATTAATGTTTAATTTTTTTAAATTGACTTTGAATTATATAAAAAGACCATGCATTCCCCTTTATTTCTATACCAAATACAACATTTTCTGATAAACAACAATGCTATTGAAGCCCAATCATAACAGGGGTAGTGAAATAGTAATAAGCAAATGAAGAATTCCTTCAAAACGTGGAAAAATAATTACGGAAAGAGTTAAGTTAGTAGTAATCAGAAAAATATTCCAAGATCTTTGTATTTTCTGGCACAAAATCAGTACAATTTAATATTTCTGATTGCATATTGAAAGATTGTAAATTTGTTTACAAATATTTGTATATCTTGTCCATTCATCTCTAAATGAGTTTGTGGTGTTCTGAATCAAAACATACACCACTAAACATTTAGAACATTCCTCTGTAAAGATGTAAATTTCAAATTCTAATTTAATCTGAAGTACAAAATAAATTTTTAAAATAAATCTTTTGGAGAGTCTGTGTCTTGCTTTAGAAGAAATCTATATTAATTGCTTGTTATTTAGTTACTCAATGAGCTTTTCTATGAAAAAAAAAAAAGTCTGGGCCAATTAAGATATAGCCTAATGTTTTGAGTCATTAATCAACATGCATGACTAGATTGACACATGAAATGCATAGGACATAATTATCTTCTATTTTTGAAGAAACGTCTGTAATACCTAAGACCAATCGATTGGGATGTATCATGAAATTGATAGTTCTTTCTTGTGTATTTTATTTTATCAAAACAAGGTAAGCAAAAAGACTAATTGTCTGTGAACCATGTTCTTGAGGCAAGTGTTGGTGAACTATGATAGTGAGGAAAGTGTTGGTGAACCATGTTTGTGAGACGAGTGTTGGTGAACCATGTTCGTGGGGCAAGTGGTGGTGAACTATGCTCATGAGGAAAATGTTGGTGAACTATGATAGTGAGGAAAGTGTTGGTGAACTATGGTGGTGAGGCAAGTGTTGGAAAGTGCGAAGTTCGAGCAGCCCCGATTTATCAAGAGGTTCGAACAGTTCACTTTTTATTGCTAAAACTTTTTTATTTGAATGTTTACCAAATTACTACTATATTGCTACTGCGCATGCACCTTTTTTCTTCCCTTCCTACACATACTATTTTCTTTTCCTTGTAAAGGCTAAGTTCATGGCGAGGTCAAACTCAGGAGGTGTGGAGTTATTCTTTTTTACTACCCGGTAGTGAAGGAAATGGGTAATGGGCTTAAGGCTATTTTTAAGTCTGATTGCTCATCAGCTTAAAGAGACTATTTGAAGTTGTGGAGGGTGGGAAATGGTGCAATGGATGGTGTTCTTGCGCTGGAGTAAAAAGAAAATGACTTTATAGTAAAAATTAAATATTAAAACATGTTTTAGATATATTTTCTTTGATCTGTTCGAACCTTCCATCAACCCGATCGAGCTTACTAACTGGGGAAAAATCCGCTCGAGGCGATACTTACCCTACACCTCTTTGACTTCGTATTTAATTTTAACTAAGCCTAGTGGTACATTAAATCCAATCTATTTTTATAGAAAAAAGGACGAGGAATTCAGAGATACTATCAGTTTTTTCATAGGTCAGACCGTTACGGTGCTATAAAAATCCAAACTTGAAAATTGCTGCCAGCGGACTTAATACGCTCGAACTTCGCACTTTATCTAATTTATCGATAACCAACCAAGCCAATCTGGCAGTCGACACACACTACACAGTGAGTAGATTCTACACTATTAGTCTAGTCACTAAACTACACACTACTGTGCTGTGGGCACTGTAAAAGTGTCTACAACTACACTGACTAATAATACTCAATAGTGAGTCAGTGACAATAGTCAATGACATTTAATCCAACTAACTATACGGTACCGTATAATTTGTTGGATTAGCCTTAGGTAGGATCTAGATCTAGTCTAGAATCTATTCTAGATAGATTTATAGTTCTACTAGATTTATCTGTTATAACTTATATATACTCATATACTATAGATAGACTAGTCTAGAGCAGTGCCATTAGACTCACTAGTTGTCTATAATACTAAAAGTATATCGAAGTGCCTATTCCCAACCAGCTGGGAATAGGCTTTAGCTGGGAATAGGCTTTAGCCCTATTCCCAATCGTTTGATCAGGTCAAATGAGGTCAAAACCTTATTCCCATTCAACCGGAAGTGGTTCTTATGTTAAAGGTTAAACAAGATGGCAGGAATCAATTATACATGCTTTGTCCACAGTCACTGATTTGATTTACAGTTTTAACATAGATCTAGTAACACTAGATATAGTATTGTTCACTTTATCTAGATTGACTAGATCTAGAATCTAAAGTTGTTTCATTACATTAAAAAAAAACAGCATGAAAAGAATTTAGCAATGACAATTAAATGTAAGGTTGTAATAGTATTTCTTCTATTATTTGCTTTAATAAATGTATCAAATGTATGTCATACATAAGACAAAAAAAAACAAAACACCAAAGTCTCTGTTGATTGTGTTGTGCTATTTATGTAGGAGATTTAAAACTGCATGGCAAGGACACATTGATTTCTAGCTTTGTTTATGATATAAGGTTAAAATACAAGAAAAATAATAATTTTTCCCCACATTTAAAAAGGTGCCAGTATCGTATGCCGTATCGGATCGCACAGTCACAAAAAAAAAGTCCCATTGCCCTGTATATGAATTGTTTAAAAAATGTTTATAAATTATAATTAGTCTATAGGTCATTCATAAATAATAAATTAAAATTATAAACATTAACTAAGAATGCTAACAAAGAACTATTTAATAAGTAAAGATTTTTTTCTCAGTAAATCTCCTCTTCTACTATACATAAAGGTGCATAACAAACCAAATATGTATGACATATCAAACTAGCAGTAATAGTTGAACATAACATTTCTTCTCTATTATTATTGCTTTAATAAATGTATGTCATACATATGACCAAAAAAAAAACCCAACAAAAACAAAGTCTCTGTTGATCGACAAACTTTTTTTTTGGTGGGTGGAGGGGCATTATATTTTATTGATATAAAAAAACATAAATGACATAGAAAAATGGAAATTAACAAAGTAATGTGTATGTTTTCAATTTTATAAAATTTCAAACCTAGAAATCATACAAGTATATTATTGACATCAAATGAGAGAAATATTTATTTATTGAAATGGTGCTAAGATTGGTTGGATAATGATCATATGTATAGAACATGATCCATTGATTCTTATTGCGGTACAATCTCTCAAAGATATCCACTACTTCCACCACAACTTGGCCTTAGATTATAAAATCCTGTGTAGGATATATCCTACCCACCTGCCTCCCCTATTTCACCTATTTGAGAACAATAAACTTTGATATCCTCTATCCTATATTGAATAGAATCAACATAAATGAAAAAACTCTCAGCTTTACAATATACTTAGCATTTTACTATGTGTCTACACATGCTATTGCTTTGAAACAAACTTTAAACCCCATTCTCCCCAATTACATTTTTATCTCTGCCTAGTTTTGATAGTTCCTCTTTTTTATTATAGCCATCCTCAATGCACTAAGTTTTATAATGAAGATGGGAAAGGGAACATTGTAAACACATGTCAAAAAATATCAACAAGCAGTATATAGGCCTCAAAAAAAAAATGTTGAGTGCTTAAGTCAAAGCCAAGTAAAAAAAAAAATTTAATTGGAGATAATGTGACCAGGAATGAAATGAAAACAAAAACAGTGAATAAATATATTTTATTTATCTTATAGCTATTACAAATATTCAGCTCAAAGATTTAACAAAAATACGACCTAACAATTCTATAATAAAATAACCTATAAAGTATACATTGTTCCTTTAATTACATTAGGGAAAAAATAATAGAAGTTTAATAAATTGTAAAGATTTATCAATATCAAACAAATTTTATTTTATAGCTATTTTCTATTATCTTCTTTTAAATCAAATTTAACTGAATAGGATTTGACCTAAACACAGTGGACTGGGAATAAGGTTTTGACCTAATTTGACCCTGTTGACTGTTAATAGGGTTTTGACCTTATTTGACCCATCCATCCGGTTGGGAATAGGGTTGAAGCCTATTCACAACTGGTTGGGAATAGGGTCCGCCAAAGTATATATCTATTTGTTTTATATTGTCAATCTCTGTGATAATTTCCGTATTGGCGGGCAGCTCGCCTTACCCACGCTGGCCACAGCTGACACAATTTTTAGCCCTCAAATTATGTCCCTTTATTTTTATCTCTTTCATTCTTCAATTGAATGAACCGTGTAGGCTACCATTAAACAATATATGAAACAATGATACAATTTTGTAAAAAAATATATACTGAAGAATGTCATCCTGATCCATTGGCCTAATTGATAAAAGAGATAGGCTACTACTGAAAAATGTCATCCATTGGCCTAATTGGAAAAAAGAGATACTGAAGAATGTCATCCATTGGCCTAATTAAAAAAAAAGAACTACTGAAGAATGTCTTACCATAAACAGAGGGAAGAGCAAGGTGTTCAAGATGAAGGCATCCAACAATACACCCATTACATTCCAAGGTGAGGCACTGAAAGAGGTGGAAAGCTTCACCTATCTCGGCAGTATCATAGACCACCATGGAGGAACAGATGCAGATGTCAGAACCCGCATTGGTGAAGCTCGAGCAGCCTTCCATCAGCTGAAGAACACCTGGGGATCTAGGGAAATAAGCAGCACCACCAAGATTAGGCTCTTTAACACCATTGTTAAGCCGATACTACTTTATGGAGTAGAGACCTGGAAAACCACGATCATCACCATGAAAAAAATCCAGGTATTCATCAATACCTGCCTGAGGAAGATTCTTATGATTCGCTGGCCAGACAAGATCTTGAATGAGGAACTGTGGCAAAGAACAAAACAGCAGCCCATTGAAGTAGATATCCTTCAGATACGCTGGAGATGGATAGGTCACACCTTTTGCAAGCCTGCATTCGACATAACAAAGCAAGCCCTAACCTGGAACACAAGAGGAAGAGAGGATGGCCCAGGAATACATCGCGCAACGATCTGGAAGCAGATGGGCAAGATGTGGAGGAAGCTGGTTGGTGGCCTATGCCCACGAAGGGACCACAGGCAGAGATGAAATGAGATACTGAAGAAAGTCATCCATTGGCCTAATAAAAAAAAAGAGATACTGAAGAATGTCATCCATTGGCCTAATTGAAAAAAAAAGATACTGAAAAATGTTATCCATTGGCCTAATTGAAAAAAAAGAGATACTGAACAATGTCATCCATTGGCCTATAATTTATGGGAAGAGGGTGGGGAGCATGTATTTATCATGGTTTCAGATAGAAATCTGACCTATCATATTTTTTTTTGTTTTACGGGTTTAGGGTGTTCCTTTAGAATTGAAGATAGTTACATCCTACTCCTAACCTCTCTCGGGACGGTATGCCGGTCCTAACCTAGGACTGT